CGGCCTGGGGCCTTTTGTCTTCCACCGCTGAGGCTTTGCTTGCGGGTGGGGGCATTGGTGCCGCTACTGGTTCTGCTGCGGGCCACCCTCGGCATGAGCTCTGGAAGCCGCGCCGAGCTGCTATGACCCATAAAGCTGCTTGGGTGCATGAGGGCTTGCTGCTCACGACGCTGCGCCGCCTCCTTCGACGGCTCCTTCATCTTCGGCGTGTTCCCGGTGACCTTCGGCTCGTGACTAAGATCAGAAGTGCTCTGCTGTGGCTGGTGGATGCCTTCCCTCAGGTTCATCCTTTCCTGGAGGATTGCAGCGGCGACGAGGCCATTGCCGTTGTGGAGTCCCTCATCACTGCGGAGGTCAGCCAGCAGAAGACCCTGGCGTTGCGCAAATGGCGCAACGAGGTCGAGGGCGATGTGGCGGCCCAGCGTGCATGGATCAAGCGACGTGCTCGTGTTGAGGTCGATGCCGCGTGCCCGGCCCAGCCGCCAGTGGAGGCGATGAGGCGCGCTGCTCATCCTGCGGTGGTGGTGGAGGCGGCCGCTCTTGAGTGGGGCGCTCGCTGGACTCGACCACCTTCGGTGCCAATCGCTGCTGCTTCTAGGATCTTCGAGGCGGTGCCCCAGCGCCCTGCTTCGCGACTTGACTTACGCTGCACTGGTCAGGAGCTCCGGGCAATCAACAAGGCAATGCTTGGGAAGTCGGCGGGGCCTGATTCCTGGACTCCCGAGATGTTCGCGATGCTCCCGGACCCTTTCTGGAATTGCTTCGCGGAGCTGTGGCTGACCATTGCGTCCTCTGCAAAGGTACCTGCCATGTGGAGGCGGGCTCGGGTCGCGCTGTTGGACAAACCTCGTGGAGGATTTCGGCCGCTGAGCATCCTGTGTTTGGGCTGGAGGGTGGGAGCCAAATGGTTCCTTTCTCACTTGGGCACCTGGGTCGGCTCGTGGGCTGACCACATGACGCTTGGTGGGCTGCGCGGACGGTGTGCTAAGGACCTGCTTGCTCAGCTGCTGGCTGCCGCTGAGGATGACCAGCACGTCATTGCGCAGGACCTTGAAAAGTACTTCGACGGCATCCTCATCGACCACCTCGAGGTTGCTTTGCTGCGCCTTGGAGCCCCGCCTGAGCTCCTCGCGCTGACCCAGGCCTTGTACGGGGATCACTGGAGAGTTTTTTCTCGGGACGGCGTCCTTGGGGATCGCTGGATTCGATGCTCCCGTGGCATAGCTCAGGGCTGTCCGATGTCACCCCTCCTTGCCGGTGTCCTGATGGTGGGCTGGAGCTCGTGGGTCGCCTGCTCCTCTGCGACTGCGCTTTCTTTCTTTGACGATCGCTACATGATTGGCGACAGGGCTTCGGTGCTGCTTGAGGCCAAACGTCGCAGCGATGAGTATGACGCCGCTCTGCTCTTCCGCTGTGATCCTAAGAAGTGCGGCTTGGCTTCGTCCTCGTGTGGTGCTGAGGGCCCCAGACTGGCTACACAGTTGGGGTATGAACACAAACCTCAGTTGGAGGCTTTGGGCATCGTCATCGACTTCGAGAAGGCCGTGGCACCGTCGCTTGCCAGGTTCTCCCTTGTGAGTGCCAGGCGCAGGCTCAGACTGATCCGCTGTGTGGCGTGCTACCTCCAGCACCGGAGGATGCACATCAAATCCATGGTGACGCCTCTCTTTTCGTGGGCAGGGGCTTTCGCGATCATTCCTGAGGCTGATGCGCTTTCCCTGCGGAGGGAAGCCCTGTACTTCGGCAAAGAGCTCTTGGTTGACACGCCTCCTTGCGTGCTTTTGGAGGTCCTTGGCTGGCAGTGTGA